AGAGAATGAACACTTACGTCCATATATAGGACAAAGTGAGAGGAAAAAAATATTCACCATTGAAACAGTTAAAACACTAAAATTCTCCTCTAATAATACTCAGAACTGTGAACTTACTTTGTATTAATTAAACTCAATGTAATGGCATTTTCTATATTGAAATGAATAACCAGTGATCTGGAAATTCATTTAGACCATTAGGTTAATTACAGAAACCGATGGAAGTTTTATCAGTTAATTACAATTAAGTAACATGAACAATGTGGGACAGATTTATAAGCATTTGTACCACCTCAATCATTTCTGGATACCACCACCTCTTCTTATGAACTGTAATCAATATATCAATTAATAAATGGGCCATCAACTTCATTTGCCCTTGGGTATGATAAAACTAAATATCTGATTTATGCATTTTCATATTTTTCTTCTTTTAATTCTATCATTTTATTGCAATATGAAAGATTCCTTAATTTTTAATAAAATATCAAAAATTATGGAAAAAGAGTGCATGTATTTTTGAGCTGATAAGCATGCTTACTGAAGATGAAAAAACTCACATTTAGAAAATGCCAGCCAAAACTGACATAAGTTTAACATGTACTCATTGAAGTCAAAGTAAATTCACTTTTACGGCTATGCAAAACATTTGGGAAATACAGGTGTGTTTCTGTGCATCATCTTGAACAAAGACAAGCAGCAATTAGCTATTTCACCATATATGTTATGTATTCAGTCCAGTGAACTATCCTGTTAATACATGCTCAGAAAAATCTACTAGTAGTTACATACCTGGTAAGTCAAAGCATCTTTACATGTACTTGGTCCTAAAATAAAGCCTGAAAGTTATGAAGATCAACATTCTGATCTAGAAAGTGAAAAATATTTAGCTGCCTTTGAACTCCTATTAAAGTTTCTGATGTTTCTCCCATTGCCTTCCATGGAACCTGCGCATGCAGAACTGTAAATTTTTGAAAAATGTGATGCGTATCTTTAGGCTGGGTTACTCGCTACACCAGCTAGTGTTTAATGAGCCTGGAAACACTGATTAGCAATTCCAGTTGTCTACTGGCAGGTGCATCTCCTCTTCCATCCACTGCCATGAAATGGTTATCGAAGTTATCAAGAAAACGGAGCCAGGCTATTCAGAGACACACACTAGGAAGACAAGAGACAACAAAAGTAACTTGAAAGCAGAGAGGTTTCCACTGTTAGGACATTCAAGCATTGGAACAGATCATCCAGGAAGGTTGTGCAGTCTCCATTGTTAAAGGTGCCCTGCTGCAACCTGGTCCTTCCAACCTGAATTATTCTATGATTCTAAGACTTCACATCTTCCTTCTTTCCCATGTTTTGGCTCTCATTAACTTTTATTTCATTCACATTTTCAGGCACTTCTATAATATGGAAAAATGGGCAAATGGCACTAAACAGTTTTTAAATTCCTTGCATAAATTCAGATTCATCTTTTTCCCTTTTTTAAACCATACATACCCAGCTATATTACTGTCCTTTGTAGAACAGTGATACAGATACTCAGTGACAGAACTTTTTCCATCTTTTGAATCTTCCCTTTCTCCAGTAGGGTCTTAATATTCTCATGGATCCTATTCGTGAGTATCTTCAATTAGGAAAAGTTGCACATTTTTTCTTGATATGTTTCTTATTTACCAGTAGATACAAAGTTCTTCAGGATTTTAAAATTTCCTGTGGAAGCAACTAGTCTAAAGAAGTGGGGGCAAAAAGACACTCTGAGTTACGTGCAGCCAAACTCTATGATTTATTATGTTTCAGTGAGATATGAGGAGCTTCCGGGAAGCTTCTAGTAAGTGCTTACTTATTTGCTGGGTCTTGGTGTACTCTAATATTTCTTTTCTGGATATATCTCCTTGAAATACTGGTCTACATTCTTCACTGAGATAATGATGAAAGATTGAGCTGAAATCAGTTGTATTAGTTCTGTCCTCAAGATGCCAGTACTCTGGGAATCTACAGCAGCCAAGATGAGACCATTAGCTTCCTTATTTTGGTTGTCTCGATAAGGCACATAATCTGTCCTACCAAGGGATGTGAACATATTTGTATGATGAAACTATGCTTTCTGCATAATGAATAATCTATTCCAGAATAGATGTGCAAATGAAAAACTGATCCAGGTCCCATCTTCTGTTTCAGCATAAGAGAACAGATGAGGCATGAGAGACTATTACTACTGATTTGATCCACTGCTTGCAGAAGAAACAGCTCATTTCTTTCTGTATTATGAAAAGGGGCAGAAGCAATGGAAGGAAGCAGAGCCATGTTTCCACCTCCTGCCATATTCAGAGGTATAAGTGGTTACTCTACTGGGAAATGTACAGTGTGATACATAACATATATTCTGGGGAAATAAAATGCCAGGAAGGAAAGAGTAGCTCTAAGAAATGCACTCTTCTTTCTGGCTAGACAAAAAAAAAAAATGGGGTAAAAGTGTTCAGAGACTACTAGTGACCAAAGCAATTAAAAGTCAGAAAGTTAAGTGTGAAAAAAAGCTAGCCAAATCAAGAAAAATATTTTTTACTACCATGCGTCAGTTTTAGAATATAACTTCGGATCAAGAGATGAACAGTCAAGGCAAAGGCAGCATTTCTAAAAGTGGGGACTATCCTTTCCAAATACCTGAAAATTCCTAAGTGCTATTAGTATTTAATGAACTCCGAACCTCTCACATGGCTTTAGAAATCTCAGCTCTTTCTCTTCTGTTAAAAACTTACAATTTTAAAATCTCTTCATTCTTACATTTTAAGCTGTTCTAAAATATTACACACTTAAAATACCAGTGGTAAGAGTATTCAAGATTATTCAAAGATGAAGGCTGAAATATTGTTGTCTATATGGAATGATAACAGTAAAAGTATTAGTCTCCTAGACTTTAATGTTGGCTTATCAGTTATCATTTCAATATTATAAATGTGCATAAAAACTAGAATATAGAGGGTCTATAAAATAATAAAGAAAATGAGACAAAACTCAAGCTTCCTTTCTATTCACTTCTTAGTAGAATTTCCTACAGAAATGGAACTATTCTACATCTTTATTGAAAATTCTGTAATAAGGAGAAATTAAAAAAAAAATTACAATCATTAGTAACCAGGGTAATTTTGTATTATTAGAAGTTGTGACCCTGTGGGGGAAACCACATTTTGGCAATATAAAATACTATACATAATAAAAGAAAAATCATGACTTCCAGACACACAGATCCAAGAAAAGTGTAATGATTTCTACTGCAAGGACTACTAGCAATCTCTGTTATCAAACTGTTTATTACACATTGCCAAGTGGGAGGCAGATAGGCAAAGTCTGTTTACTTATGTATTTGGCATAATTGAAAACAAACAGGTGTTTGTTAGGATATCATTCTTCAAGGAGCACCACTGCAAAATAAGACTTTTCAAAGTGATTGACTCATGAGACATGATGGAAACAGTGAAGTATAGAGCTTAGCTAGCTATATATGACTATCCAGGGAATTAATAACAGTGGAAATACCGTATGATGTAAACAACAACCCCTGAAATAAATTCCCTAGGCTAGAATTCACAGAGATGAGAGGAACAGGGTAAACTAAAAAAAAAAACACAACAAAGTCTTTATTTAGAGTACTTCCCAGGAAACAAACACTGCCCCATTCCCCCAGAAGCTCCCTAACAGTGAGATGAATGAACTGTTTAGATAATTTTTTAAGAAATGACTTTCAGTCAAAGACTGCTATTTCATTGAAAAGGGAATATTGATTTAAACAGTATTTCATTGTTACTATAAGGATTAAAAACAAAACACTGCTTGGGAAACATTATATAGGACAAAATATTCTTGGCACACCTGGAACCAAATGCAGTTTAAACTGGTAATTTCATTTCCAATTTAAAACACTTCATATGTTTTGTTAGTCCACTATGTATTTGTGGACTCTTGATTTGAAACTAGATCCCACATTTGTATTATAAAAGCAACAGCTCTAGGGTTGATATTCATAGCCTTTAACGTAGGAGACTTTCATCACGGTATAGAGGACCTCTATGGAACTCTTTTATCCTCATTTCTGGTTTTAATGCATAAAATCAATTAATCATTTTAGTAGATTAGATAAGCATTAAATGAGTAAAACTGCATTCTAGACTGAGTGCAATCTTCATAAAGAGCATATGCATTAATGTTGTTAATTCAGGCAACATAAAATATTTTCTTTACAGAGGACAGCTATGAACACTGAGCAAATGCTGCTGTTCACCCTACTTTAACAAGCAGCAATTATTACTATTTCATTCAGCCATAGACTCTTCATCTGATCAGATTTCAGAATGGGCATCAGTGAGGCCACCAATACTATGTAAAATACTGAGAAAAATCAGTTCTGCTTCTGTTTCAGAATTTTAGAGGACGCATTTCTACCCCAAAGTTTTGTACAGGAAAATGGCTGATTGCAGTATATTGTTTCAGCTTGTCTTTGCTATTTTTATCAGGCTACCATTTTACAATTTAAAATATCCACTTGTACACAGTTTTTATCTTTTGTGAAAAAGACTTCAAGACTTCATGTCTATTTGCTTCCTGACACAATCAAATGATAGCATAAGACTTCTTTTTTTTTAAAATCACAGTTGTGACCAGGATAGAAAAAGAAACACAACTTCATATTCTACACAAAATGCAGAGTGCACAACAGTACTGGATTAAGAAAAAAAACAACCCACTGTTACTGAAGAAATTTTGACTGTTTCTGTAGAACATTGTAATATAGGTATTATTTTAATTATTATTTTAAAATATACTTTGAGTATAAAAAGGCAACTAAAACCACTGAATTATCTGTTGACATTACTTACATATGCTTATAAACACATTTACCTTAACAACAGCTATTAGGAAAGTTTACATTTTTAGGGGTCTTAATTCACATTAATGCGCTTTTGTCACAAAACAAAACAAAACAAAAAAGAGCCATAACACTAGCTTACTTGTGGATGTGTATACTAGTGAACTGGGGGCACTGTACACGGGAGATCCCTCCTGGTTTGCCTGGCACAGCAGCACCCTGCCTACAAGAAAGAGAGAGAGAGTGGTATCTGGTTTTGGAACACTCATACTAAACCTCAATTTTTATGTCAAAACAGAAATGAAGTCAGAACCAGAGCAGTGCAGTGAAGCTGGGGCACATTTTTTCCTTTGGCTTCAAAGCAGAAAGAGCCCCAAAGAACATGTAAAATTTTACATTGGAAAAAGCAAAACACAGACATCTCCCCAAATACAAACACCCTTTTATACCAAGAGGGGGAAGCTGGCACAGGCTTACAGCACCCACCAGCCCCTCCCGCGCCCGCCCCCCCCCCCCCCAGCTGCTCTCCCAATTCTGCCCTGGCTCTCCCAGACAGAAGCTGCCTCAGTAGCTCTGCAGATAACAGAAGCCACCAGCCCTCCCCACACCACCCGGCTCCTCTCCCTACCTTTGCCTGAAACGAAAGGCCACTAGAGAAAACACAGCAGATAAACCAGACCACAAAGCTCCCATGTACAGACGTTAGGCTGAGTACAATCTCAGTTATATGGCTTAAATTAACACTCGTGCAAGCAATTATTAATACATGTGAAGATTTCAGTGTTTTTTTTCCTAAATGAGAAATACATAAACATAAACTACTTTCCAGTAGATAAGCTGGGTTCTGGATTAAGAACAAAACCAAATAAAGGAAACTTTTTTTTTTGTAAAAAAGTAATAACCAGATCAATTTAAAACAACATTTCTGTAATGCATGCTCATTTTGAACAAATGACAGATGCTTTGGCTTACTTCTGGTGCTTTCTGCTTTTTGTTTTTTAATGAAATTAAATAAAATGCCATGTATTTCAACATCTTCCTTAAAACTCTATTTTAGCAGTCTTAGCTGAATATGGATAGAGGAAGAAACAACTATACTTTCATACTAAGAAAAACACTTCTGCACTTCCGGAATACAGCCCAGCAGGAAAAGCAGGATGTGACACAACTGATACAGGTATATATACACCTGTATACACACACAAAGTATTACATATACACATACAGACATTACTTCAAGCTGTCAGGATTTGTGACTCATGCAATTTCAAAAATCTTAAATTTACATGAAGATTTCTGAGACTTTAGAAGTTGTACATTGACACAAGAAATGTAACTTAACAGAGTTGAATCAAATATGTTTGGAAGGAAAAAATTAATTACAAATAGCAGGCATCTTTTCTATGTAGTATTACAGGAGCAATTTTAACTTACATTCAGTTACCAGAGGTCTTTAAAAAATACATATATTTAAAAAAAAATCTGTCATTAACCAGTTCTTTGACTATTGCTTGCAGCTGCCATCTGAAGTAGAAACACAGGAAAACCAAAGGAAAATAACTCTTGTAATTTATGCAATTTAGCTGTGAGCACTGGAAATGTCATGAAGTATTATGCTTCTAGCCTTCCCAGGCAATAGCCTATCCATTAACTAAGAGGATTTGGAGATGCTTGGGTTTTTTTTTTTTTTTCATCCATCTACTACTAATCTGAAAGATAAACTAAAACATTTTGGTTCCTTCCTTACTATAAGACAGCACATAGCTGACTATATCGATATATCAATATCTATCTCTCAACCTTCCCCAAAAATCCACAACTGGAAGCTGTTAAATGAACGCATACCTACTGAGATCCTAAGAGCATGCATTACTTTCAGGCTAATGATGAACAGGACCTATCAACACACTCACTTGACACTAGGAAGGTGTAAATCAGAATACGGATGTATTTTAACATCATAAATGCTTTAAAACTTATTATTACAGATGCCTGAAAATGAGTGAGCTGAAGACAGAGGCACTCATCCAGCAAAGCCAAATGAACAAAGGAATCACTAAAATCAGTAATTTTCATTAGTTTTTAAGATTAATGTAATGATAACGTCTTCAAGTATGTTTAGTAAATATATAAAGGTTTTTAAAAATTTAGGATGATAATTTATATTCTTCCACATATATTCCAGATGACACTTTGTTTGTTCCATGATCCACAGACCATTCCTTTTTTTTTGCAGCTAACATACTTATATTTTTTCTGATTTCATCTCATACAAATCTAATTTTCCTTACTCTAGTCTTCTAATTTCTAATGAAAGTCCTTCAAAACAGATGCTTTTTCATCCACGCTACTAGAGTGTATTTAGTCTGTGGCATAGAGCTTTCTAATTGTATTTTAAAAATATGCTTTCAAATTTGTACATAAAATTAATACTAATACCTAAACCACTATTATTAGATTTTGTTGTAGAAAAATATTGACCTTTTTAATCTACTTTTGTGACAAAAGATTATTTCTGCTGCATCCAATCTCAGTATTTAAAATACTTAAATTCTAATTAATACAACTAGGGAAAGATTCAATTATTTACAATAAGATCTTCCAGATGAACTCAGAACATTCAAACAGTTTATAAATGCCTTAATGGAAAAAAAAAACCCAAACCAAACCCTAATCTTTTTTCTCCTAGAATACTAAATTCTAGCATGACTGAATGTAGGCGTTTTAATTTTTTTGTTATAGTTTTGTTTTTAAGAAAGTGGATTTTAATATCAATTTCTTAATATTTCTGTTCAAACTGTAATTTAATAATATCACGGAGCTCATGAACTTCAAAAGCTTACAGTCATGCAGTCTTTAATCCCACAATGCCTTCTGCACCAGCATATTTAAGGCTGGTATTTCCTTATTAAGAACAATCAGCATGACTTTTTGCTTTTCTCTAAAAGTCTGCTCACAGCAGACCTGTCACCAGTGCTACTGGATTTCGGGGATCATCAGCAGAAACCCCTTTTCAACTTACTCCATCAGAAGGATCAGAAAAATACCAGCTTATGTATCTGAAGCATGTGTTCACTATGGGCACACAGGAGAGCTTTAGACAGGCCAAGGGCAGAAGGGAAACCCAGCTCTGCTGGGTCCACAGTGGCAGAGCAAACATAGCACAGGCTGCAATGCTGTTGCCGAGCACTGCTGTATCTTGGCAGAGATCCCCCCAGACAGATGCACTGCTCACCCTTGCCACACAGGCTGCCAACCTGGACAAAAACTACTTTTCAGATAAAAAAAATATTCCCACTCATACTTCTCTTCTCCCTATGTTTTCTCTAATCCATGATTAAGAATATACTGTTTGATTAGGCCCTTTGCTGAAGCACTGCAGTTATTTTGAGGAAATAATTACTCTAAAAATACTCAGAAGAAAATTATGTGAAGCCATTGTTTTTAGAAAAGTAAAAATTACTTTCCTAATGGTTCCATGATATCTGTCTAAAAGGAGTTTCCTGATCATTTTTTCATACTTTTAAAGATAAGTTTTATGCCTAGTTACTACATGGCTGATATAAACTATCTACAGAGCATAAGCAAAAATACCAGTGTACCCACGAGCTCATATACAAGACATATGATGGAGTTCGCTGTATTTCTCAAATGCTCAGGTAGCTAAGAGGTACCCAGGATCAGCTGCAGGAGGACATTCCAGGAAATTATAAAGGATTTTAAATCACTTCTGCTAAAAATAGCTTTTAACTGGAACTACTGTGTAACCAGTGCTACAGACAGCCTAAAGTAAAGGTCTAGTGTAAGTCTGAAAGAATTTGAACAATTATTTGGAATCTCTTATGGCATCCTTTGTGGAAGCATAAATTAAAACACTTTCAGCAGAAAAAGAATTCATACAATTAGCTGAAATTATGCTACTGATGTAAAATTAGCAGTGTTGCAAGGCCATGACCACAGCTCTCTCCTGCGGCAGAAAGTAGATGGAACTTTCTGAGAAACTTCACCACTGGGGTTGTATGAAAAGGAAAAAGTGAATACAGGCTAGAAATATTTGTGCCCCATTTTGCTTATGTTATTAAAAAATGTTATTTTATGACTCTAATCTAAAAGCTGAATTGTTTAATAAATTCAGTGACTGCTATTCCATTTTCTCTTTCTCCCAATACGGGTGGATGTTACATAGCCCAATCTTCTCCCTGGGTTAGTTCTCAGATATTCTGTTCATTGTTGCGCTTTGTACTTTCTGCAACAACTATTATGCCTATGCACTTATTTTCTCTTCAATAAGTGATACACAAAGGAAATTATAAAGCTGCACCTCTCATGAACACATCATGAGATTTACCAGTGTGTCAAGGATCCACATAAACACTCTACATCAGCTCTTGATTTGCTGTTCTAGAAGTGTAATTTAGTATTGTTCTTTCTGGACAGAAACAGCATTATCTTTGTTCTGGTCTGAAATACTGTTCTATGATGGGTCACTTCAAAATGTGTTACAGAAACGGATAGCAACACCTAACTAAAAGGCCACTGTTGTACAACAATAATGTGTTAGCTTCTATTGTTCTACCTGACTAGGGAATTTAAAGACAGCCTCTATCCTGAATGCATAATAGCTCTTAAGTGCTCTCTTAGCTCTTTATTATCAATACTCAAGCTGCACAGTTTAGAATGGTTTTGAATATGCAGTTAATTCAAAAAAATGCTTTGTGAGTGTCTTCAGTTATTTGAGATCTTTCTCTAAATGGAATAATACTCCTTCAGATTTTAACACAACTAGTCATGGACAGTTGTGTTGATACATTGAATAGTTTCGTCCATTATAAACAAAGAATTCAGTAGCATCACTCAAAACCACACACCTTCTTTCTTCCAGTATGTTAAAAATACAACCAAGACTGACCTTTAATTGCCTTAAAGTTACAAATTTCATTTAAACAAGAGACTCGCATATTAAGAGAGGACATTGTGAAATAGTATGTCCAAAGGTGAGTTCTCTAAGTCCAAATCAGTATCTATAGTACCTTTTGACAGCAAACGTGAAATATATTCTATTATTGAATAAGCTGTGTATACTTGCTGCTGGTAATGAGAATGAGATTCTGTGCTCTATACGTACACTTTAATGGTTTAATGCTTCACCCACTTCATCAATGAGAAGTTGAAAGTTATTATCTACTGACCCACTAAAATTCTCAAAAATTCTAAAAAGCATTT